AGCCTGCAGCACGACTCTGCGGGCGCTCTTGAGAGGGCCGTCTCCGCCGTCCGCGAGCGCCACTTCCTCATGGGGGCAGCCCATTGGTGGTCAATGGTGGCCGCTGGGCCAAATTCGATGCCCAAAAAAGTCGTGCGCCCCCGCACGTGGAAGCCAGCCCACTCTGGGACCAGGCTTGCTATGCGATGCTTGAATCGGTCCTTGACCCTGTGGGTGCACTCCTCCGCCAGCGGGACAGCGCAGCATTTTTCGGGCTGGAGGACAAGGTTGGCCAGGGTGCGGGCGGCTTCGAATGGTGGGAGGAGTTCGGGGAGGAGCGAAATCGAGGGGAGGGAGATACCCACGTCATCCGCCGTCGCTCCACACTCTGGGTACAAACCTGGGCACCATCTGAACGGGCTTGGGCACATCGCTCTGGCTGAAGGGCTGGACACCTGGGCCTCAAGATGACGCAGGAAGGGATCCATGCAGAGGGCCCAAATGGTGCCTGACAGGGGGCAGCCTTGGGCCACTCCTGAGGAGACCGAAAAGAGCACCATCCTGGCGGCGCCACATCGGGCGTGGGCGAGAGCCCCTGAATACAAAGCCGAGATTACATTCAGAAACCCCGTCGGGATGCGGTGTCGCTCGAGCACGCGGTGAAGGAACGTCTGGGACAGAGAGGGGAAGGCAGCCCGAAGGTCAAACGAGAGGAACGCGGGGGAAAGGTCAGGGTGGTGCCCCGCAGCTCGAGCGATCGCATCCTGGCGGACAATGTGGCCGAGAAAATTGCGGCCTCGGATGAAGCCCTGCTGCACATGGTGGGCGCGGGCGGCAGTCAGATGACCGAGCTGCAGATTCACCACCGCCGCCACCGCCTTCGCGTCAGAGTTCTTGAGGCTCAGGGGCCTGAGCTGGCTGGGTCCCCTCACCACGTCGTATGAGTCGGCCATCTCTGAGCCCTTGGGGGCGAAGGCCATGTCCGCATAGTTGAAGCCAAGGGGAGCACCGCCGCCTGCGAAGAGCCTCAGCATCATGGAGTAGAGCACCTCCGCGAGCCTCTCGTCCGCCAGCCAGGCTTTCGCCATGAGGCGATCTGGGCCTGGTGCCGTCGGCCTCGCACGTCGGAGGACCGCCCGAAGCGTCTCGATGGAGGGGACGTGCAGGGTGGGAGCCTCGAAGGACGGGAGGTGCTGGTCCAGGTAGCGGTCGACCGCCTCCACGTCGACCGGCTTGTCCGTGAAGTGCGGCTTCCAGTGGTCCCGCAGCGCGTCGACGATCCTGGAGGGATCCCTCTCGGTCGACGCTTCATGGCCACTGGAGTCGAGGCGGACTCCCGCAAGAACCAGGCGACGGCGGAAGGGAGCCCATAGCATGGCCCTCCTCTGAGCGGCCCGCTGCAGCTTCAAGAGTTGCCACTTGTCGGGTCCTTCAGCACCAGGCCGTAGACGGGACTCCTCGCGGAGTCGGGCAGCTGCAGCAGCACGCTGACGCTCGTACCAAGAGAGGTGGAGGAGCCCGCAATCCCTCTCGAAGTCCTCCGCCGCCTGAAGAGAGACCACGTCGGAGGAGCTGATGGCGATGTGCTTCGCACCCATCTCCGTCGAGCGCACGAGGCGAAGCGCCAGCTGGACATCCTGACGCCATATCGCTCGTGCGATGGCTCTTGCCGTGAGGCGACGTCCATCAGTTGCATCCTCGCTCTCGTCGCCCATGGGCAAGGCCTGGATCTCATTCCTCGTCAGGCGCGCCGCCTCAGTCATGACCTCCTTGGCCAGCGACCAGCGAGACCCTGTCTCCAGGGAGTCCAGCTCGGCCACGTCGAGGAGGGCCTTCACGTGCTTCTTGAAGCGGTCCGTGCCGAAGATGTTCGGCGGGATGGATTGCTCATTCACTGGGGTCTGAGCGCGGGTCCAGACCTTCAGCTGGATGATGGCATGGTCGCTGAGGCCCCAGTCGGCGAGCTTCGGTGCCTCCTGCCATATCTCAAAGGAGACCGCGGTGTTCAGGATGGAGTGCGACTTCAGCGAGATGAAGGCGCGGTCAATGAAGGAGCACGTCTGGTGCTGCTTGGAGAAGTGGGTGGGAAGCTCGCAGGTGACCTCCGCCAGGGACTGCTGGAAAAGAGCTCTCCAGAAGCCCTGACCTTGGTTTCCTCTATGCCAGACCGAGCGGCTGTTACCCGCTCTCCTTGCTCTCTCCCTCGGTGCGGTGGACGAGGACGTGGATGAGGAGGAGCAGCTGGAGGACGACGAAGCAGCACGTGGCGATGATCTGGGAGGAGCACCCTGGGCCTGGGGCAGACGAGCGGCGGTGGGCTGCTCGAGGGACAGCGGCTCAATGTCAGCAATGTTGAAGTCGCCAATGGCAATGAAAATGCGGTGTCTATCATCTTCTTGCGCCCAGCGAGTTCCGTCCATCCAGCAGCTCTTGATGGAGGCAAAGGAGCCATGCGGGACGTCGTAGTTGTGGATGTTCAGGATGCGGACATGCTCATCGGTGTTCACGTTAGAGATGGAGAGCTCGGCTACTCTCCCAGGTACCAGTATCTTCAAAGATGTGGAAGGTAGTAGATGCGGGTCGATGGAGCGTAGCTCCGCCTCTGAGAACCACGGAACCAAGAAGGCCAGACCGCCAGAACCAGGGTTCGGGCCCGCAGAGAAGAAGGGGAGGTAGTGGTACGGCATCTGGGCGAGGAGGGTCCTGAGCTTGATCTCCGAGCCATGCGTCTCCTGGACTACGATCAGATTGCGAAGCTTCATCAACTGGGCCAGCCGATTCAGCTTGGCCTTGCGCTTGTGGGCCCTGTGACAGAGGAGACCATTGGCATTCCACGAAGCAACGCAGAGCCCCTTGCTGGCCCATGAGTCAGTGCCTCGGGCAGGGGACAGGACCCAAGGCAGCCAGCGTGGGCTAGGAGCACGACCAGGTGGAAGTGTCGACCTCCGAAGACGATGCCGTGGCCTCTGTGAAGTGCTCCGTGATGTTGCGACGGTAATCCGTGCGGAGTGCTCGTTCAGCCTCAGGATGCCAATAGAGCTTGGATGACTCGTGGAAGCCCTGTGGCACAACCTCAATGAGCGGGACGGCGTTGGCACAGAGGATGCCCTTGGGGCGGATGGCGGTCCACTCGATGTGCTTGCCATCGACCTCGGACCAGTCCTGGACAAGGATGTTGAGAAGGCGCCTGGTGTGCATCTCGCGTCGAATCTGTCGAGGGGCTTTGTCCGCACCCACGTGAAGAGTGACTCGCCTGCCGTCTGGGGCCGCCGCCATGAAATTCCGCCATCCCCCGCCAGGAAGCCGTAGGGCTCGGGCCAAGGCCATGGCTCGAGGTGCGCCTGCGCCCCCAGATCCTTTGACATGAATGAAGAAGCGCCTGGCTGGGACAGTGCCTCCCACCACCTCGATGAATTCGGCGCCCACCTTGGCTGCGACGATCCAGTCCTCAATCGCAGCTCTGACGGCAGCACCCGAGACCATACTCTGGCAATTGGCTGTGAAGAGGAGCGGATCAGCCTCGCGGTCGTACTCGGCGAGCTTGGCCAGGTCCGTGGCGCCGAGCTGGCGCTCCGCAATGGAGAGGCTGGCGCGAATCTCCTCCACCTGCTGACGGAGCTTCGCGTTGTCCCGCTCCATCTCGTTCTGCCGATTCTTGATCTGATGTACTTCGTTGGACTGCGCAGCGAGGCTCTTCGCGAGCGGGTCGACGTAGTTGGCCATCTCCTGGACGAGAGCCTTCTGGGTGCTGGACATCGCGCTCGTGCATAACTGCTGCATGTCAGAGACCGTGGAGTCCATGCGCTGCTGGACCAGGCGCATGAGATGTTGCTGGAAATCACTGGCCGCAACAGCGCCCCCCGCCTCAGTAGCAGCACCAGGGGTCTCTGCAGAAGTATCTCCAGGGGTGGCCGTTCCAGCGATAGGAGTGGCAGGAATCGTATCGGCATCAGCTCGACTGGCAAAGGTGGGCATGATCTCCAGTGCAGCCACGTCCTGGGAGGTGAGGCGGCCAGACCCTGCATCCGCCCATGGATCACGAGATTGGAGAGCATCTCTTGGTGAGGCGCCACCCTGCTGGCCCGCCCACTGGGGGGCTGCAGCCAGGCCGTTAGGCGCAGACAGGGGGCGGTCACGCCTGGATTCACGTGGAGGCTCTTCGCGAGGTCGACGGCGGGCACCACGTTCTGCGAGAGAGGGTTCTGCAGCACCCCGAGGTCGTCGATTGCGCTGGCGAGGCTGATGTTCTCCTCCGCTGCGGCTGTTGGAACCTCTTCTCTGGTGTCCTTCACGGCAAGTATCAGAATCGTCAGAGTCCATGCAAAAAAGGAAGAAAGTCGTGTTCGCGGAACCCGCGTCGTGACTGGGAATATGGAAGCCTCACGCAGAGGACTGGAATATGGAAGCGCACGAAAGGGGGGCTCGACCAGCACCTGTGTCGCGGGCCGCGCTGCCGAGCCCCCAAAGGCTGACCTGTCCAGCTGACTTGACAGATGGATTACTTGAGCCAAAATGGCTTGAGCCAAAATGGCTACGGAAGGAGGAGAGGAGGAGGAGGAGGAGGAGGAGGAGGAGGAGGAGGAGGAGGAAACTGCCCCTCCCTGCCCCCCCTGAGCCCATTCCCCCACTGACGTTGCCCTTGGTGGGCTTCGGGCCATAGCTCGGCCCTCCAGCGGCCCTTCGGGACGACTCCGGCAGCCCCGGAACGCTGTCTACAAGGCGCAAGTGATGGGACGTCGTCGTCGTCGTCGTCGTCGTCGCCGCCGCTGCCGTCGTCGTCGTCGTCGTCGTCGTCGTCGTCGTCGTCGCCGCCGCTGCCGTCGTCGTCGTCGTCGTCGTCGCCGCCGCTGCTGCCGTCGTCGTCGTCGTCGCCGTCGTCGCCGCCGCCGCTGCCGTCGTCGTCGTCGTCGTCGTCGTCGTCGTCGTCGTCGTCGTCGTCGTCGTCGTCGTCGCCGCCGCCGCCGCCGCCGCCGCCGCCGCCGCCGCCGCCGTTGACGGAAAGCGGCGGCGGCGATGGCGTCCGCAACGTGCTGCTGGACAACGTACGTGGCGTCGGGCCTCGCCGCGCCAGGCGCCCGGCGCGCGCGGCGCGCGGCACGTCGGCAGCAGCACCTGGCACCGTCAGCTCTGGCGGCGGGCCCGCTCCTCAAGGAGAGCAGGCAAGCTGACGCGCATCCGACGAAACGCAATTCCAATGTCTCTACCTCCGCACCACCATCGGGCGTCACCCAAAGCGCCCCCGCCCCCGCCGCGCGCCCCCAGGGTGCGACGGCTACGCGGCGCCGGGCCCGTTCCAGAGGGGGGCGAGGAGGGCGGGGAGTGTGTTGGGCGGCGGGGCCATACAACCGTAGATGCACTACATCACCGAAGACGTAGCAGCTTGCCGGTAGCGTGTTGCATGGAGTACCTTGTCGGCATACGATGTCTATGATGATGTCTACAATACATAATTGATAGAAGTAGTAGATTGTGCGTAAGATGCACATGTGCACCATTGTCCGTAGCGCTGCAATTGTTCGTGATCTTCCTGGCTTCAGGCAGGCCAGTCTCGCCATGAATTCCCGGAATCGTCGCTTGCCAAGTCGTAGTACTCAGCGTTCCACCTGCCTTCGTTTGAGTAGCTGTTGTACTTCTCGCTGCTTTCCTCGTGCTCCACGTTGCTCCCGTTGTTCTCCTTGCCGTATTCGGTTGTTTCTTGTAGTTGTAGAAATTCTGCAGCGAGGATAGGCATGGGTCGTTGGCCCACTGGCATCAGGTTCTGGTGCGCCTCGTACTGGTCGCGGGCGGACAAGGGCGCTTCGATGGCTCCTGAGGGACCCAGCGCGCGGACCATCGTGTCTCCGTCCTCGCAGTGGCGGCCAACGCTGATGTCTGTAGGCGCCATCATGTCGTGGGGCTTGTTGTTCTCGGGTTAAGTGAGTTTGGATATGGCCCTGATGGCGACGGCCTCTGTGACGGCCTGCCCCTCGGCAGTCATGGCCTTGAGGAAGTCCAGCCCCTGGAGCGGGGCGTAGACGATGAAGACTGGCTCGTCCTGTCGTCGCTCTCATCATCATCATCATCATCATCATCATCATCATCATCATCATCATCATCATCATCATCATCAGCAGCAGCAGCAGCAGCATCATCATCATCCTCTCGTGGCCCTCGTAGCTCAGTCGGTTGCTCTCGGAGTCCTGCACGCGGCCCTCGTAGCTCGGCTTGTGGCCCCCGTAATTCGGCTGATGGTCCTCGTAGCTGTGTCGGGGGCTCTAGAGGCTCCGCTCGTGGACCTTGTTGTTCAGCTGGTGGCGCTGGTAGCTCTGCTGGAGGCCCTTGCTGCTCAGCCCGCGTCCCGCGTAACTCAGACTGTGGTCTTTGTAGCCGTTCTGGTGACCTTCGTAGTCCAGCTGGTGGTCCTTGAGCGCGTGGTCCTTGTAGCCCGGCTTGCCGGCCTCGAGGTTCAGCTTGTGGCCCTCGCAGCCCTGCAAGTGGCTCTGGAAGCTCAGCTGGTGGCGTTCGTAGCCCCGCTGGTGGCTCCCGCCGATCCGGTTGTGGCTTGCTTTGCTGAGCAGGTGATCCTTGTAGCTGAACTGGTGGCTTTCGTAGTTCGGAGGGTGGTCCCAGTACCTCAGCTGACTGGTGGTTGTCGTAGCTCGGCGCGCGGCCATCGTAGGTCAGCGTGTGGTCCTCCTAGCTCAGCGGGTGACACTAAGAATACTGACTGCGGCACGTAGCCAGGCTTGTTGCCCATGACGTTCAGCTGGTGGCTCTCGTAGCTGTGTCTGGGGCACTAGAGGCTCTGCCCGTGGACCTCGTAGTTCAGCTGGTGGCGCTGGTAGCTCTGCTGGAGGCCCTCGCTGCTCTGCACGTGTTCTGCGTAGCTCAGCTTGTGGTCTGCGTAGTTCCACCAGAGGCCTTCGTAGTTCAGCCGGTGGCCCTCGTAGCCCAGCTTGAGGACCTCGAAGCTTTGCTGGCTCTCGTAATCCTGCTGGTGGCTCTGGTAGTTAAGCTGGTGGTGTTGGCCGCTCAGCGGGTGGGTTTCGTGACTCTGCAGGTGGTCCTCGTAGCACAGTTGGTGGTCCTCGTAGTTCAGCAGGTGGTTGTCGTAGCTCAGCAGGTGGTCGTCGTAGCTCAGCTGGTGGTTCTCGTGGCACGGCAGGTGGCCCTGGTGGCCCACCTGGTGGCACTCGTAGCTCTGCGCGCGGTCCTCGTAGTACAGCTTGTGGCCACCGTAGCCCAGCTGGTGGCTCCTGAAGCTCACCACCCTCGAGGCTCTGCGCGTCGCCTGGGAGGTCGGCGAGTAATCCTTGTAGCTCTGCTGGAGGCCCCCGTAGCTCTGCAGTGGTATCCTGGGCCTGCCTGTCGTCCTCAGCCTCCTGGGTCTCCTGAGATGGCACGCGCTGGTCGACCTTTGTATGCATGTACATGTATATAGGTGTCTGCGGAAAGAGAGAGAGAGAGAGAGAGAGAGAGAAATGTATATATATATATATATGTCTAGAGAGAGAGGGAGGGATATAGAGAGAGAGGGAGAGAAACAAACGAGAGGCAGAGAGAGAGAGAGATAAGAACCCTCGAACACAATAATATCGTATACTTGATCTCGTACAGGGAAGCCTGATCAAGTCGGCGTGCGTAAGGCATCGTCGGACATTGCAGCCCGAAGGCAGCAGCAACTGGTGAGCCCAAATCGTTTCAGCAGTAGGGCGTGAGCAAGCAACCACGGGGGCAGATGCTCAGCACCGCCTCGCCCCAGGAGGAGACGGCACTGGCGTCCCAGCAAGATGGCAGCGCATGACTGGTAAGAGTGCAAGCGGGGGGGGGGGCGCGCTTTGCCAAGCCCAGGCACTCGGATGGCTTGCCGCAGAGGTGCACAGAAGTACCTGCGTGGCTTGCGCGGCGCGGGCGCGGCATGCCAAAACCACGCCGACAACCCCTCGAAAATGCAACATGGACGGCTCGCTTCAGACTGCTCTTCGTGCATGCATTGCTCCCTTCTCTTTTCGCGCATACTGCCTGTTCGTCCTCCTTTACGGGGCTTATATTGCAGCGGCTTGTGCGACGACTGTTCTTCGTTGTTCTATGAGACGTCCTGTACTTAATATCGAAACTGGAAAAGATGATAGCCTCGGACCAAGACTAGGAGGTACACGCATCGGACGGACCAGAAAGCCCGTGGCAGTAGCGCACGCAGTGATCAAAGTGCAAATATACAAGGACCGACCATCACGAAGTTTAAAACGAGATAGCGTTTAAAACGAACAACGAAACGATGCCCTACGTTTAAAACGAACGTTTGAAACGAAACTGGTGCCAGACGAAAGCGAACGACGAAACCGGGCGTCCAACACAACAACGAAACGAAACGAAACGACACGAATCGAAAAAACGGGCAACCAAACAAAAAACAAAGCAAGGGCCCAAAGCAAGCTCAACAGCGTTGCTGTCGGTCCTTGCGAAGACAAAGCAATGTGTTTCTCTGCCTGGGCGCTAGGAGTGACTCCTCCGCCTCCTTCACCTCCCCCCTCACCTCCTGCTGCTGCCGCTCATCCCCATCGTTTCTGCCCGTTCCCGCCTGTGCCCTCGCCTCTCTCCTCGCCTGCCTCCTCCTGCAGGCACCAGGCTCCCCATCCGGGGGCCCCGAACGAGGCAGAACCACATCGCAGGATGATAGGGACTGCGCGTCCGTGGCGTGCGAGGCGCACCAGTGCTACCAACCGGGCCTGGCGAAGAACGCCCTTTCCAAGTATGGGGCCGGTGCGACCCAAGCAGTTTTTTTTTGTTTGCGGGGCCAGAGCGAACCTCTTCCGGTTAAAAGCAAGGCGGGCTACGCACAGCTCTCCTTGGGGAGACAGGGCACAGGCGGGCGGGGCCTCAGGCGGCTGGAGGGCGGGCCGGGGTGCAGGCGGTGCCGAGGAGCTTGCACAAGAAAAGGAACGCGGTGCGACCCAAGCCAGGCCTGCACCAAAACGCTTGCCAGAGCGTGGCGGGAAGCCGCCCGCCCCGTGGAGACGACGACCCCATTGCCACGCTGCAGCCCGCAGGGACGCCGCGGGGGGGCCGCCCCGATGGGCGCCAGGGCGTTGGCGAGGGACTGGTCGTCGCCGCCGGGCAGCGGGCGCTGCGCAAGCGCAGCCGCCACGCGGGAGGAGGAGGAGGAGGAGGAGGAGGAGGAGGAGGAGGAGGAGGAGGAGGAGGAGGAGGAGGTGGAGGAGGAGGAGGAGGAGGATGAGGAGAGAGGAGGAGGAGGAAGGAGGGGGGGAGGAGGAGGGCAGCCGACGCACCCTGCGTTCTGACTCAACGCGCTCCTCGATTGTTTGCAGCCGTGGTGCTGCCTTGCAGGGGCGCCAGCTCGGAGAGGAGGGAACTCCCTCTCCCGACCACGGCGCGCCTCGGCCACGGAGAGGCTCCCCGGCCTGGGTTTCGGGAGCGGCCCGGAAGCCAGAGCCCCTCCTCCTCCTCCTCCTCCTCTCATCCTCCTTCCTCCTCCTCCTCTCCCTCCTCATCCTCTCCTCCCCCCCCTCCTCTCTCCTTCCCTCCCTCCCCCCCTCCTCCTCCCTCCTCTCCTCCTCCTCCTCCCCTCCTCTCCTCCTCCCCCTCCCTCCTCCCCTCCTTCCTCCTCCTGCCTCCCCTCCTCCTCCTCCCTCCTCCCCCCTTCCTCCTCCCTCCCCTTTCCCCCTCTCCCCTCCCCCTCCCTCCTCCTTCCTCCTCCTCCTCCTCCCTCCTGAGCCCCACGTGGTCCTCATTTCAACGTCTGGACTGGAGGCGCAGAAGACGCAACGGGTGCCAAACACGCTGGGGACGCCGCATGCGATGCCCGTGGGAGGCCAAGCATAACCTCCGAATGGTGCTGCCAGCCAGGCTGGGCCAGCCCACGGCACCCACAGATGTCGCCGCCCGGGGCGCATTCGATCAGTCACTATTTCTGGACATCGAGCTCTGCCAGAGGTACTTCACACAACGCCGTCCAAAACGCACCCGTGACATGGGGCTCGAACGAGGGAGCTATGCAAGCAACCAGTCGACGAATCAGGGGACGACCCAAGAAGTCCCCCGGCCTTCTGAGAAGTTGAGGCCTTCTGAGAAGCCCCGCGGCCTTCTGAGAAGGCCCTCTCCTTCTCACTTCTCCGCCGGGAGGTGGTTCAGACCTCTGGGGGTGCACGCATCGGACACACACAAACACAAACACAAACACAAACACAAACAAACACACAAACACAAACACAAACACAAACACAAACACAAACACACACACAAACACAAACACAAACACAAACACACACACAAACACAAACACACACACAACCAAACACACACCCACACACACACACACACCCACACACAACACACACACCCACACCACCACAACACACCACACACACACACCACACCCACACCCACACACCCACACACACACACACACAACTACACACCCACACACACACACACCACCACACCAACACACCAACACACCAAAACCCCACACACACACACACACACACACACAACAACACAAACAACTCACACAACACACAACACCACACACACACACCACACAACACCACAAAACACACACACACACACACCCACACACACACACAACACACACACACACACCACACACCCACCCACACCCACACAACATCACACACACACACACACACCCACACACCACACACACACACACACACACACAACACAAACACACACACACACACACACACACACACACACACAACACACACACACACACACAGACACACACCACACACACACAACCACACACACACACACACACACACACACACAACACAACACACACCAACACACACACACACACAACAACACACACACACACAACACACACCACACAAACACACACAACACACACACACACAACACTCACACACAACACACACACACACACGCACACACACACACACACACACGCACACACACACATACACACACACACACACCACACCACACACCACACACACACACACCACACACCACACACCACACACCACACACACACACACACACACACACACACACACACACACACACACACACACACACACACACACGCGCACGCGCACGCGCACGCGCACGCGCACTCGCACGCGCACGCGCACGCGCACGCGCACGCGCACGCGCACGCGCACGTGCACGCGCACGCGCACGCGCACGCGCACGCACACGCACACGCTTGCACACGCACACGCACACGCACACGCACACGCACACGCACACGCGCACACATTGGAGCGCCCGATGTCAGGGCCGTCCGCCCGTCGGGGCCAGAAGTGGCGCGCCCGCCGGGTGGGCCACCCCCGCCCCGGCAGGGGACAGGCATGCCCCATCAAGGGTGGCAAGATCGCAGACGAGGGGACCCAGACGCCCTCGCGTTGTGTGCAAAACCACGGCGGGACGTTTCTCGTTGATTTCGGCCTCCGAGGGCCCTGGCCGGGCCTCGGGACCGCCAGAAAACTTCTCGGGATGAAAGACTGGTCCCGGGGAAGGGGTCCAGACCTCTGGGGATCGACGCTGTGAAAAAACATGACGTCGGGGGTCTGGGGAGCAGGATATTGGGGCATGATCCCTGGCGACGTTGTGGATCTCGGGCGCCTGTACTGGCCCCCATGCCTGCCGGCCTGCCCCGCCCGTGCTCGACCGAGCTCGAGGCGCCTGCCTTGCGCGCCTGCTTGAGCAGGCCTTGCTGACGCTACAGGTGCTTGCCCGCCTAGCATCTGGCCCAAGACTGGGACAGGGAGGACGGGGGGTGGAAGGATGGAGAGGGGAGGACAAGGAAGGAGGGGAGGGGGGAGTACGCAGAAAGGAACCAAGGGAGCGGGTGCCGAGGGCTTCGGGTACGCATGTTCGGTGCCACGCGAGCATGCCAGAGGCGACCGACCTCTCGGTGCCGATGTTGCTCATTTTGGCCGTGGGTCTTCTTCGTCTTCCCCTTCTCTCCAGAGGGTGTTGGCAAGCCTGGGCCAAGGTCGGCGGCCAGCCCGGGGAGGAAATGAGGGGGGGCGGGCCGTCTCAGAAGGCTCGGAAGCCCTCCGGCCTTCTCTGAGAAGCTCTCCAGGCCTTCCTCGAAGACACAAGGAGCTTCTCCGAAAGCCAGAGGGGGCTTCGGAGAAGCCCCGCCGCCTCCCGAGAAGGCCTCCTCCTTCGCACCTGCCCCCCCCCCCTCGCTCGCCGCCGACGAGGGGTGTCCTGACAAGGCCCCCAAGGGGGGCCACGGTGCCCCGCCGGGGGCCGGGGCGGCGGGGCGGGAGGAGGCTCCAGTCGGGAGCGGCCAAGAGGGGGGTGTCCAAGAGGGGGGGGTGCAAATCATGACCGGCGGCACGTGCGCGACCCAGCGGGGGGCCAGGGACGTAATGAAACAAGAAGAGGCGCCATGAAATCTGGGGAAATCCGCCGGCCCCCTTGTGGGGCCACCAGGCTGTAGGCCCGTGATTCGCAGTTTCCTGTACCAGTTGTAGCTTGTAGTTTCCAGTGTTACAGGTTTGCTTCTTGCTGGTTACTGTAACTAGTTGATTGAGCGCGCGAGGGGGGGGGGAGGCCCAAACGGGATTTTTAGCGTCCCCTGGCGCGTTGTCTGAATTGCTGGGTGGGCTCGAAATCGACACCCCTCACGCAGATCCGCGGGGTCAGGGTCCAAAAACACAGAGAATTTGCCACATTTCTGAAATTCGGTGCCACCCCTCACGCAGATCCGCGGGGTCAGGGTCCAAGAACACAGGGGATTTGCCACATTTGTGAAATTCGGTGCCACCCCTCACGCAGATCCGCGGGGTCAGGGTCCAAAAACAAAGGGGATTTGCCACATTTCTGAAATTCGGTGCCACCCCTCACGCAGATCCGCGGGGTCAGGGTCCAAGAACACAGGGGATTTGCCACATTTGTGAAATTCGGTGCCACCCCTCACGCAGATCCGCGGGGTCAGGGTCCAAAAACACAGGGGATTTGCTACATTTCTGAAATTCGGTGCAACCCCTCACGCAGATCCGCGGGGTCAGGGTCCAAAAACACAGAGAATTTGCCACATTTCTGAAATTCGGTGCCACCCCTGACGCAGATCCGCGGGGTCAGGGTCCAAAAACACAGGGGATTTGCCACATTTCTGAAATTCGGCGCCACCCCTTACGCAGATCCGCGGGGTCAGGGTCCAAGAACACAGGGGATTTGCCACATGTCTGAAATTTGGTGCCACCCTTCACGCACATCCATCGCAAGGCGTGGTAACCCAAACTGCGAGAACTCCCGCGGCCCTTTAATCGCAAGGTGTGGTAACCAAGCCCGTAAACCATACACGTCTTACCAATCGCCAGGTGTGGTAACCCCTCTTGTGATCTGTTGGTTTTGCTGATTGCGAATCGGCTTCGCATGAAGTTTCGATACTGCTTCACGACAGCGCCAAGACCTCATGACTTAGCTCTTCCATGGCCCATTCTCCGAGAGAGGGGGCCGGCGGCAGGGGGCGAAGCCCTTACGGATATCATGGCCCCCGCCATGGTATCCACCCCTCTAGTCATCACCCCCCTCTTTTCCGCCCCCGATCCAGGGGGCCTGGCCCAGAGGCTCCCGGGGCTCAAAACGGTGGTGCCTGTCCTGGGATGCACGAGCTTCGCTGCCAGAACAAAATGTTTTTTTTGGTCGGCGGGGCGAGAGCGAACCTCTTCCGCGAAAAGCTAGGCGGGCTACGCGCAGCTTGAATCAGAGAGACAACTTCGCTGCCAGGACAGAGGGCGTCGGTGTTTGGCGGTACAGTCGGGGCGTTGACCTAAGGAACCCTAAATAAGGAACGGGGCCCCTTTCTCCCATAAGTTCAACCTCGATTTCCCATGGAAAACCTCAAGAAAACAGAAGGCAAACTGTAGAACAATCAAGGAACACCGAGCCCCTCCTCAACGAAAAGGGTTCCCTCTGCAGGGCCCCGGCTGCATTATGCTTCGGAGTGCCCAGGCTGAGAGTGGCCCCTTGGTCCTTCGCGCGCCTGCGAGACGTATGTGCGTGGGTGCTATACGCTCCCAGCGTACTCACAATACCGGGGGGGTACTTCGCTCCCCGAGTGGACTGCGCACTAACACGACACAAAACTGAACCAACTGGG